TTTGATGAACAAGTTTTTAAGTTGCAGAAACACATCTTTGTATATTTCAAGCACTTACTGTTTCATGCTTTTAAATTCTTACCTAATCTCTAAGTCAAAAGTGAAACCTTTCTCGTATGTTTAAGGTATGACAGTGAACATTTTCACAGATATTTGGGCATTTATATTACACAGATTTTCTAACTCCTTTGTACATTTTACTGCCACTTTGTGTGAAAGTCACGTCTGACTTGTTGCGACCCCATGAACTGCAGCACACCAGACTTCCCTGTCCTTCACTGTCTCCCAGAGTTTGCTCATACTCCTGTCCATTGGATCAATGATGCCATCCAACCATCTCATCCTGTCATCCCCTTCTCTTGCCCTCAGTCTTTCCTAGCATCAGGGTCTTTTCCAGTGAGTTCAGCTCTTTGCATCAGGTAGCCAAAGTATTGTGAAAGTTATTTTAAAGTATAGTGATCTTTGCCATGTCATTAATCTTTTTACCTGTTTTTGTGGTATCTTAAATTAGTTTCAGAAAAATTAAAAATTTCGGTTGGATATATTAGGCTTTCATTACGATTTGTCTGATTAAAAATTTTTGTTATGGAGAAGATGAAAAATAACTATAACTAATGGTTGTAGGATATTTTTACATGTACCTTAGTGGATGATAGCGACTATTCCTTTTTTCCCCCAATAAACTGTAGTTAATATGATAGGATCAGCAAAGAGGACATTATTGGCTTTTCAACCTACTGAAATATATAGCCTGCATTTTCTTTGTTTTTAAGATTTTGCATTTTTGTAGGACCCTACTTGAGCTATACATTGAATACAATTCAAAAGTAAGAAGTGTTGAAAGTCTTGTGTTAATTAATTCAAAAAGAGATCCAGGTCCATCCATTAATGTCCAGCATATTAAGGGATTTGTTAAATTATAAGATAAAACATGCTGCCATTAATTTTTTTTGTTTTTGCAAGGAAGATTTTCAGTGTGGAGAAATAATTTGTGATTGTGACAGGTGAAAATGAACTTTTACATCTGGTATAATCTCAACTATATGCTTAGGAAAAAAGCATAGAAAAAGAGAAGAAAATAATATCCAACAGTATGTATTACAGGTTGTGGTAAGATGATAGCATTATGGTTGATATTTTTCTGGTTCTTTATGCTTTTGTACACCAGATATCTATATTGAGTGTGTTATACTAATACTTAGAAAACAGCATTGGATCACTTTTGTGTTTTTACAAAATCATCTTAATGGGGTAGGAAAAATACTAAAATGTTTCTAATTTATAAGTAAATGAGATGCAACTCTTTTCTCTTTAACTGCATTTGGGGCATTTTGAAGAGAGATGAAGGTGATTAGTAAAAATTAATTCATGGATACAATACCACTTGCAAACTCCAGTTGCATGGTTGATTAATTTTGATAGAATTCTCATCAGTCATTGTGTATATAAAGATATGAACTACTCTCTTAGCTATTGTGGATATTTTACTGCTTTTGAAGGATTCCTGACCATAGATAAGACCCATTCAAATGGTTATTTTTCAAAAGATACAAGCAAAATGTAGTGAGTTAGAAAAAAGATACATTGTGGGAGATTGAAGTAGTAGTGTATATGTGGGATGGTAGAGTAAACCAAATGGGCTTCCCTGGTGGCTGTGGTAGAGGCATGTCCAATCCCTGGGTCAGGAAGATCCCTTGGAAAAGGAAATGGCAACCACTACAATATTCTTGTTGGAGAAACCCCATGGAGGAGCCTGGCAGGCTACAGGCCATGGAGTTGCAAAAGAATTGGATACAATTTAGTGACAACAGCAACAGTAAGCCAAACAGTGGGCTGAACGACCACCTGGGCTATAAACCTAGATCTACCACATACACACTTTCCTAAGACCTCAACTTCCTTACTTTTCAAAGTCATTTTAGCAATGAAACTTTTTCCTTAAGTGATATTCTGTGGAATGTCAAATGAAAACAGGTTAAAGTTGATGTTTTATTTCTGCGCATTTTCTGTAAGTTTCCATATTTACTAGGTGAAAAAAGGGAGAAGTATAATTAAACATTAATTTCCAAATTAATTAAAATTTAACTTTATTTAGAATTTGTTAATGTGTTTACTTTTTGAAAGTAGGAAAATAATTGACAAAAATGGAAAAGATTGATTTACTAGAGACAGATAAATTTTAAATGTTTAATAGTCTTTTTGGAAATAGTGTTAACATTTTGACTGTACAAAAGATATATTTTAGAGAGAGAATCACTTTTTTAAGAAAATGTAAAATCTTTGTTTCAGATGATAAGATTGCCTGTTTTTTGTATTTAATAAATGAGAACCAAATTAAAATTATTTATAGTTTGATGGAATGCTTCACTAATATTTGCAAGATGATAATATTACTTTAATAAAAGATGTTTATACATTTTTCATGGTAGTATGGCTCTCAAATGTTTTATTTTTATATTATCATTTGATTAAATAACAAATTCATTTAATTCAGGCAAAATTATTTGCTAGCCCTTAAAATGAATACATGTAAGAGCCCACCCATGAAAAAGCAAAGCTGATACATAGGGGTGGTTAACAGATGCTCTCTGTAAGGAATGGGATTGCAGGAAAGCAGTCCTAACTTTTACGCCAGGTTTAAAAATGACTTAGTTGTAACTATTAAATTTTTATTTAATAATTATTAAGTTTTGTAATTAGTACCAAATTAATTGTAATTAAACAGTATAATTTTGATGTAAAATTGGAATAGAGAGGTATAAGAAATATATCTAATGAATAATGACTATAAGCAAATAAAAATTTTCAGCTGACTTATCAAAATTCATGTGCTGAATTTGAATGTGAGAAAACATAGCAAGCTAACATTTTAAATCTTAGTAATGTATTAAAATGAAAACGACTGTTACTTTAAAAGAGGATTCAGTTATTTCATGCTAACCTTTGTTTTGATTTCAAGTTGCTAACTGCTAGAGTGCCAACGTGATAACTTTGTGAGCACTGTTGCTGTAAACAAGCATATATTCGGTTCCTGCTCTGTGAAAAAGAGCCGCGTGTAATGATTGTGGTCTTATTCAAGGACAGAGTGCTGATGATATCATTTCCATAGACAGTACAGTGCTGCAGCTGGCTCTGTCAGTCTGGGAGGAGAGTGTACTTAAAAAAAGACCATGAAGTAATTAGCAATTCAGGGGCAGTGTTTTAAAGGAAATGAGCTGGAAGTCTAGTCATTAAAGTCAAAGGAAACCTGTGCTTTTTGTGTGTGTGTGTTCAAAGTGCAACCAAGCCAGCTTGCATAGCCCACATTAAGAATTCGGGAAAGGCTGACAGGAAGAAAATACAAGTGGCTAGAATTTAAACCTACTTTACTAATTTCATCTAAGACTGTTAAGTATGTTTCAGCAACGTTTATTAGTTATCTGTTTCCTCACAGAGCAAGGCTGACAGGCATATAGTGCACAATCCCAACAGCATGAAAGCAAGGAGTCAGAATTCCTATCCTGGCTCAAAGGAAACAAATGAAGTGAGTAGCATTCAGTGACCAACAACCTGGCCCAAAATCTGTAAAGTGTATAGCTAGTTTTCCTAGGACAATATTTTAGCTACAAGTGATTTTTTGACACCATATGTATCTCCTCACTCCCCTTCTCTGATGTCCAAAAGTGCATCTTTCAACTTCCTGTATACAATAGCAAAATGAAATTCAGTAGATAACCTGAGTACTTACCATGTCTTAGAAATGGTGCTAGGAGAAAGAGACATAGAGAACGAATGAAGCCACATGTGTTCGCAGGTTGCTTAATCTCGTGGGGAAGACTTACAAGCAAATAACTTATGCAATGTTAGAAACATCTAACATACCACATGTAAGTATTTCTGCTTCTAGTTGTAAGGTTTCTGGCCCAAGATATGTAAGAAATAAATCTATGCCAGAGCATCTTTCCCTTTTATTATGTATCAGTTATGTAGTTTGGTTCTTCTTTGGGATATTTTTTTATATGCGTGCCTCCTGACTTCTTTTTTACCCTGTATTGTGCGAGTTCCTCCAGATGCACCACCACTCTGCTACTCTTAAGTCGTTGAGGGTTTTACCAAACCTGTCTATTTCTGACAGTTTGCTTTCTCTTTAGACTATGGGATTGTTCAGGTGTCTGAAATGTGCTGTGTCTTTCAGAAAAAACTTAGCTTCCCTACTACTCACCTCTTGCTTCCTTCTTCCATGCTATGAAATTTTAGTACCATTGATTCAGTACTCTTGGGCCTTAAAGTAACAACCTCCTTAAACAGAATAGCCTTCCCTTTTCCATTCCCTCTCCCATTTTTGTTGCCAGTATGTATGTTTCTTTCTTTCTTTCAGATTTCAAACAAACAAATGTTTGGAAGGTTCTCCTGGTTTGAGCTTGAAACTTATTCCTTCCTGAAGTCTAGGACAATGTTTTAACGAATATGTCTTCAGAATTGCCATTCAAGTTATTTAATACTAATCAGTTACTTTATCACGGAAGTACTAGTAAACCAAGTATCATTTTTAAAAGATTTAGCAGAACAGTGAGAACATTTAAAATAGATGTTTCCTAGTGATTATGCATTTAAATTAATAACGTTCTGTATATGTGTTTCTTGAATTCCTAGTTCACTCGACAAAAATGGTATTAAAATTGATTTAAGATATTGTTTAAAAAGTAAGTTGGTAGGGAACAGCTCTGAGTTGAACTTTAACGTGTATTGAGAGAATTTTCTAGTTGTCCAGACCTTTATTCTTTTCTACTCCAAATACAGAACCACCTAAATAAGCCCATTGAATCTTTCAGTATACAAGAACCAAAAGTCCCATAAAATGATCAAATGGTGCTGAAATCAACTGACTAATTTTCTACAGATCTACTGTTTACCTGTAAACCAATGCTTTAAAAACAACAACTGTTCCTTACAACAAAATAAGTCAGAGATTCCTTGAAGTTGTTTATTTCTCCCATAATTGTCCAAGGTGTTCCATTTTGATGGCCAGGTCCTTCCGTCTTGCGTCTACCTATCCCCTGGGCCTTGCTGTCAATTGCATCAAGATTGAAGAAGGAGCAGACAATGGAGGAGGTATGTCCGCTGCTTAAACTGTTTCAGCCCTAAAAGTGGCATGCCTGATTTCTGCTCACATTCCATTGGCGAGAATTGGTCACATGGCCACCTCAGGCTGCAAGGGAGGCTGGGAAATACAGTCCCTGGCTGGAGAGCTGCTTCCTGGTCATCAATGTATCACAAACCTTGAGAACAATGGGATTTGTAGACAACAATCCTCTGTCATGTAGTGCACTTTGACAAGTTGACAACAGTATGGCCATAAAGAATATATTTAACTCCATTAATTCAGACTGGGAGAGAGGTCAAGAAAGGCTTTGGTGAGGGAGTGACGTTTAAGCTTTGTTTTAAGAGTCTTAAGTTAACCAGGTGAAGAAGAAAGTGTTTGGGGGCAGAGAAAGTTTGTGAAAGATAAGGAGGTATAGAAGTATATGGCCTATTCGGAGGACAAAAGTAGTGCAATATATGTGGATTGTATTGTGGAGTCAGGATAAGAAGGTGAGCCAAAATAGGTGGCTAAAGAGGTTTTAGATTCATAGGAAAACGTGTGTGCAAGATTTGTAGGATGTAGACTACAAGGTTTGGATGGGGGATGAGGTCTGAGAGGTAGTGAGAGGCCACATCACCTAAGGCCTTGTAACTGGGGTGAATTTTCAATCTTACTGTGAATAAGACAAAACTAAGGATACATAAGTACTTATTCAATCAAACATTCTGTCCCTACTTTCTGAAATACAGCAGTTCCTAAATGGTTCATGTCAGTATAGTGTAGTAGTATGGAACTCTATTTTAGAGGGACGTTGAATTGTTGATGCAGATGAACGTCCTCAGTTTTGCTGTCTCATGGTGCAACAGAAATAGATAAAAACAACAGGTACAGGGAAACTAGAGAGTATGAAAACAATGCTATTGTGAATTTTTTCTAAAACTTTGGATATGGTTTTGCAAAAGCCAAGGAAAGATTCAGTGTTGGGAAGTCTCCAAAAAGAAAGTTTTCCTCTCATGTAAAACAAAGGTGTCATTTCCCCGAAAGGCTGAGGCCCAATTCTCGTGGTGTCTGTGACAGGCCCTGACCCAACAACTGCATGCAGAGGGTTTGGGGAAGGGTTCGAGAGAGGTCAAGAGAATTTATATGAGAAAACACTTGCCTCTAAACAAGATTGTGGGACGTGATAATCCAAAATTGCAGTTTTCAAAAGTGCCTTCTTTAGACCCAAGGAATAGTTTTAGAAAAGGAAAAGTCTCAGAGTTAAGGAGCAGATGTTGACACAGTTGCTTATGGTATATGATATGAGAGGCATTTCTGAGAGAACTTCCTATTCAAAACAACAATATATTAATAACTAACTTTGAATAACTAATCCCTGGACCCCTCGCTAACACCAGGAACTTTCCAAAGTGCTTGGTATTAGAATGGCTTTCCATTGGTTAAGGTGAAATTTTTATCTCTTAACAGTGGAATACCCTTACCTGAGTATGGTAGATATGATAATAACTGAGTAACAGATGGGAATCCCATTTTGTACAGAGTGCATCCTAAAGTACCTAAATCCACACACAGGAGGTGCCCCCTCTCCTCGCCCATGTGAGGTATTATAGCACCTCAGTGGACAGCTAGGGTGTCCACCATTTTCCTTACCTTCCTTAGCCCAAGCTCAGCAGACAACCTTGCTTTGTAATTAAAAAAAGTCAAGGCTATAAGGTGTTCATTTCTTGATTTTCCTGGCCTCTTATCTACACAGTTACCTCCTTCTGCCCATTTTCTGGTTATTTGTTTCCTTCACTCACTGAGGAAAGACATACAGATTCTGCAAGATGTGTCCTTGAATCTCTAGGCATCTAGGCAAAAAGTGGATTCCCAAAAGGGAGGGGAGCAGGTGATGGTGCTTTGAGGAGAAAAATGACCTTGCCCTTGGGTGCCATCACTGCCAAGAGGTGGTGTAGGCTGCTGATGGCCAGCCAGGGTTTTAGCTGGATCCAGTTTTCTGTCTTCTCTCCATCCCTGATTGGTTGTAAGATTTGGAGCAAATTATTCTCGGCCACCTCATTTAGCTTCACTTTTCTTCATGAATGGTTGTAACGTCTACTTCCTGAGAATTAGGTAAGATCATACAAATGTGGAGGAAAGAAAATGTGATTTTAAAACCTAATTTCAGATGCTTCCACATGAAAGGTCCTCAACAGAGGAAAATTTATGCTTTTGATTAGGAAAGGATATTGATGGGCCATCTACTTCTGAGAGGCAAAGTCCAGACCCAGCTGGATGGGAGAGATTGGGATACAGTGGGTATAAACGTAGTTTGCTCTGAGAAATGGAGCAATGGGATTTTCAAATTTTCTCCCTGGAACCAAAGGGAAAAGCAATAAGACCAGAGTGCTCTTCCCAACAGGCATGGTAGATAATAAAGTGAAGGCTGCTTTTTCTTTGGTGCTCCAGTTTCTTGTTACCCTTTCCTGTGTCTTTAGTAGAGCTTTGCAGCTTCCTTAGATTTGAATTAACACTGCTTTAAGGAATCAAGAGAAAGATTGATTGGGACAGGCTGGGGCGTCCCACAGGCGTTGATGAGGGATCAAGTGTTGTGTCTAGAGCAGAGACCAGGAACAAGTGGTGAGGAACCACCAGGAAAATGTAACTTCCTCTCTGGTGCTCCTCAGAAACATCAAGAAGGGAACTGAACTCTCCTAGTTACTCATTTGCATTTGATGATCTTTGTGTCCCTTTGAGCCCAGAAGCCTGGAAGACTTTGGGACAAGTGAAATATATTGAGCACTTTTTGCTGCCACCACCTTAGAATAAGGTACCACCCTGCTAGCCTGAACTGCTCCAATTGCCTCTTTATTACAGAATCTTCTATTGTCCCTTCCAATCCATTCTTTACACAGTTGCCAAAAAAAAAAACCAACACATATTTTAAGCATAAAATGGATCAATCTGCCACTCCTCTTAAATCTTTTCTTTGGCCTCCCATTTGCGTTGAGTAAAATCTGAACTCCTTTTGACCTGTCAGGCCTGCATGTTTCCATGAACAGCCTCATATGGTATCCAGTGTTCCCCTTCAACAACGGTGCTCCAGGACCCTCAGCGTCTGTACCGACCCTTCTCTCTTCTGAAGTCCTCCTCCTCCTGGGTTTCATGCGTCTGGCACATCACCCTCAGGTCTCTACACCAGTGTTACCTTCTTGGTGCAATCTTCCCTGGCCACTCCACATAAACTGGTCCCAGCCTTTCACCATTGCTGTTATCTATTGCGATACTCTGGTGGTTTCTTTGGTCACCTGATGGAAGAACTGACTCATTTGAAAAGACTGTGATGCTGGGAAAGATCGAAGGCAGGAGGAGAAAGGGATGACAGAGGATGAGATGGTTGGATGGCATCACTGACTCGATGGACATGAGTTTGAGCAAGCTCCCGAAGTTGGTGATGGATAGGGAAGCCTGGCAATCTGCAGTTCATGGGGTCACAAAGAGTCAGACACGACTGAGCAACTGAACTGAGGCTATTTCTTTGTCATACCTACCCTGTACTGTGATTATCCATCTTTCTGCCTTCTTATTTACTGTATGAGGGCAAAGGCTTGGCATACTTCACAAACCCCACCAATGCATCTGTACCTGCTTTAGTGCCTGAACCTAGTAGGCCGTCAGTAATATTTGAAGGATGGATGGATGGATGAACACTTGTCCAGAGTAACGTCATCCAATAGAAATATAATGTGGGCCACATATGTAACTTTAAATTGTTCAGCAGCTACATGTAAAAAACAGTAAAATTAATTTTAATAATGTATTTTATTTACCCAGTGTATCCAAAATCTTATCATTCCAAAATGTAATCAACTATAAATTGTTAATAAGAAATTTTACCTTTTTTTATACTTAGTCTTAAAAACCCATTGGGTATTTTACACTCGGCACATCTCAATTTGACATAACCACCTTTCAGGTGCTTAGTAACCACGAGGCTCTTGACTCCTGCACTGGACAGTGAGGTCTAGAGTCTATAGGGCTTGATATGTTGTAGCTATTAGATAATAAAAATAATGCAAAGCTTCAGAGTAAGAAAGGCTCATGGTGAGAGCTGCAGAAAAGAGCTGTGCCTACTGACCTAAGGCTTCTTCATTCACCTGCTAGCACCTGGAACCACAGGGAGACCTGGTGTGCCCTAATGGCTAAGGCCATAGGATGAGGGGCAAGATGGAATCTGTACAGAAGGTAGACACCCACAGAGCACGTGCAGAAAACACCAGAAGGAAAGCAGCCTTGTTGCCTGGTTGGGAGAAGAAAATGGGCAGCAGGCTTTGCCAGAAAGTTCTCTGCCAGCAGAGAATCTCAGAATGGAATCCATTGAGACACCATCAGAGATCTCACAGAAAGATACTGTTCTTGGGGTTTGTTGGTGACAGAGTATGTAACGCTGATCATTTTTTCTTTTCTTATTATGAAAACTTCCTTTGGCTAATTTGTGTCCAGCAGGTTTTCAGTTAGGCATTTGAAACAAGCCAACTAGGCTGTCTACTGAAGACAGTTTTCCGGGTAGGAAATTGTCTCCTAAAAAGTGACTTTTAGATGAGAGCCTCTCGCTAGATAATATTCACCATTGCATCTATGGCACAGTGCTTGAGAGAAAAATCCATTGTGTGCATTTAAAACTCAGTTGTCATTCTCCGAGAGTTAATATGTGTGCACTACAAGAGGTAAGCCACTCACTTGTATCCAAAGCAAGAACTGTCTCCCACCTGCACTTGACTAATGATTACATTTCATTGGTCAGGACCATCATGATCTCTTGTCACTGTGAGCTCCTGAGTCAGAAGGACAAAAGGGCCATTAGTGCAAGTCACTGAGCCCTCCTCTGCTCTGACAGAGCAAATCAGGGTGGTAGATTCTGAATCATTTTGAACCAGGTTCCTGAAGGTGTCATGGGGATCTGTGAACAAGAGCATGTTTAAGGATATTTAAGGGCAAATTCCATGGTGCATATCTGAGAATGGTTTTAACATGTTGACTTCTGAAAATAAAGACCCACTCTGCACAAGTTTCAAACAGTATCTGCCAGAAAATTTTGTTGGAGACCCATGGTCTATCTATAAAAGATCCAGTAATTTTCATGAGCGATTTCCAAAGTGGGGTGAGAAAGGTAAGACTGTTTTCCCAGCACAAAAAAAGTTGCAATTTTACAAAATACCAGCTCTCTTTGACAACAAACATGCTGTGAAAGCACAACTCTTCTTTTCAGACTATATTAATAGAAAAATCTAGTAAATAAGATTAGTACAAAAATGTTCTACCAAGTAGATCCAATTTCTCCAAGGAAAAATTAATCCATACTTGTTACAGGCTTTCACATTAAAAAAAAAAATGAGTCATCATTGTCTCACTGATTATTTTAAGAGATTTTATAAAGGTTAATGGATGTTTGAGTCAAATGAGTCTTTTTTATTTTTTTTCCTCTTCAAATATTTTTTTTTCCTTTATTTTTATTAGTTGGAGGCTAATTACTTTACATCATTGCAGTGGTTTTTGTCATACATTGAAATGAATTAGCCATGGATTTACAGGTATTCCCCATCCCGGTCCCCCCTCCCACCTCCCTCTCCGCCCAATCCCTCTGGGTCTTCCCAGTGCACCAGGCCCGAGCAGTTGTCTCATGCATCCAACCTGGGCTGGTGATCTGTTTCACCCTAGATAATATACATGTTTTGATGCTGTTCTCTTGAAACATCCCACCCTCGCCTTCTCCCAGAGTCCACAAGTCTGTTCTATACATCAGAGTCTCTTTTTCTGTTTTGCATATAGGGTTATCGTTATCATCTTTCTAAATTCCATATATGTGTGTTAGTATACTGTAATGGTCTTTATCTTTCTGGCTTACTTCGCTCTGTATAATGGGCTCCAGTTTCATCCATCTCATTAGAACTGATTCAAATGAATTCTTTTTAATGGCTGAGTAATATTCCATGGTGTATATGTACCACAGCTTCCTCATCCATTCGTCTGCTGATGGGCATCTAGGTTGCTTCCATGTCCTGGCTATTATAAACAGTGCTGCGATGAACATTGGGGTGCACGTGTCTCTTTCAGATCTGGTTTCCTCGGTATGTATGCCCAGAAGTGGGATTGCTGGGTCATATGGCAGTTCTAATTCCAGCTTTTTAAGACATCTCCACACTGTTTTCCATAGTGGCTGTACTAATTTGCATTCCCACCAGCAGTGTAAGAGGGTTCCCTTTTCTCCACACCCTCTCCAGCATTTATTGCTTGTAGACTTTTGGATAGCAGCCATCCTGACTGGCATGTAATGGTACCTCATTGTGGTTTTGATCCCTTCAAATATTTATAAAGAACATTGTGGATGTATTCTTAATGAAACAAAACATTAAAATATAGTTTTAAGTTCTTATGGGCCCCTTGCCAGTTTCAATCCTCTTCCCGCCTAAACTATTTTATTATGTCTATGTTCCATGCATGTTTACTACTTGCTACATATGTATGTATCCAGAGGTGAGATACAGTATTGCCTTTGTGTATTTTGATTTTCAAATAAATAATTACTAATGCTAATACTTTATATCTTCTTGCAGAGTATCTCTATGAATATGCAAGCATATATAATTTTTACATAAATAAGCTCATACACACATTTCTACACCTTATGTTTTCCCTTAATATGTCTTAGATATCTTTTATTTTTACCCATGTAAATCTGCCTCATTTGACTTAGTAGCTCTGAGTATTCCATGCTAGATGTACCTGTTTATTACCCCAGTTGCTTATCAATAGAAAGTTGTTTACTTTCTTCTATTGCAAACATTCCTCTATTACATATATTGCTGGAAATATTTCTATGCACTTGCAAAAGTATGTTTATGAACTAAATTTCAAAGGCTGTGTTCATTTTAAATTTCAATAGTCATAACTAAATTGTTCTTCAAGAAGAATGAGTGTGTTTCCCCATGTTGTTGGGTATTATCAGATGATTTGACATTAGTCAAGCATTGGTGAAAAATGGCATTTCATTGCTTGAATTTACAGTTCTCTAATGTTTGTAAGAGTTGGACTGTGAAGAACACTGAGTGCCAAAGAATTGATGCTTTTGAACTGTGATGTTGGAGAAGACTCTTGAGAGTCCCTTGGACAACAAGGAGATCCAACCAGTCCTTCCTAAAGGAAATCAGTCCTGAATATTCATTGGAAGGACTGATGCTGAAGCTGAAATTCCAGTATTTTGGACATCTGATGCGAAGAACTGACTCATTTGAAAAGACCCTGATGCTGGGAAAGACTGAAGGCGGGAGGACAACAGAGGATGAGATGGTTGGATGGCATCACTGACTCGATGGACGTGAATTTGAGCAAGTTTTGGGAGTTGGTGATGGACAGGGAAGCCTGGTGTGCTGCAGTCCATGGGGTCACAAAGAGTCAGACAGGACTGAGCGACTGAACTGAACTGAATAATGTTTGCAGTAAAAGCTCTTTTCATCTGCTTACTGGTCCTTTTTTGTCTTGTGAACTGCCTATTCATAGCCTTTTCTCATTTTTAAAATTTGATTCTTCTATCAAATTGCTATATAAGTGCTTTTGTGTATTAGGAAAATTAACCCCATTCTTACATGTATCACAGGGGTTTTTTTGTTTGTTTGTTTTACCAGTTTGTTTTCTTTTGACTTTGTTTATGCCATACAGAATTTGATTCTTTCTTCTCTTTCTTCCTCTAGGACGGGTCCTTGCTACTTAAAGATTCCCTATTGAGGAATTACAGAACCAAAGCAGAGCATTACTAATAAACCTGCCTCAAAAAAACTGAGGAATCTCAGACCTTGAAATGGTTCAAACAGGCACTAAAATTTATCTAACAGGAATGCTGTTTGGAGGACAGGGAGATTAGATTTGAATATATTAAAAGTTCCTTCCACTTTTCTATAAAACCCATGGTGCTATGAAGATTCCGATTGGAGTCATTTTTTGGAGTCTTTCAGAGTGAGTGTTTTTTAGTTCACTTTGTAGTCTGTAGTTACTTGTATTTATTGTAGGAGAGTTTACTGTCTTGGCTGCAATTTATGCACATGTGACCCTCTGGAAATAAAAGAGGTTGGAAATAAAATAGCCTGACTCAGGGCCTATGGCCAACACCCTCTTCCCCCATCCCACACCTTCGCTGCCCTTGAAGGTCCTAGCACTTCCCTGACCCAGTTGGGGAGCGAGTAAGTGGGTTTGTATGATGTGTGAGGCCTCCACGGGCTGTAGAATGAAATGTACCCCCTTCCCAGCCCACATGTAGC